CCCCCCCCCCCCAAACCAGAGGCTCCGTTCAGGTGCGCCAAGTACCAGACCCACCCTCCCATTGTCCTGACAAGGCCAGAAGAGGGTTTTTTTTTAACGTTCTGTTTCTCCAAGCGAGGTACAATACTATTATATTAGAGGTCGGGGTGGGGGGTGGGGCAAAGTCTGTTAAAAGCGAGGAGCTAATTAAGTTAAGCTGCTTAGGGCAGCATATGGTTACCATGGTTACCATACGTTTAATGGTTACTGGTTTAAGAAGCTCATGGCCCGGACCAGGGTTAAGGATGTGAGGAGTCTTTTAGCTTTAGCTACAGCTGAGCTTTCAGGCCCGATCTGGTTAGCATGAGCACGTGTGACAGGACAGGGATCACTTACGAGAAAATACCCCTCAGCTTTTAATCGTTACCCTGATGCTAAACTGTTAGTCTCATTTCCAGGAAGATGTGTCCAGTGAATATTAAACTCAGCTACTTTTTGGGATGTTAACATCCCAAGAAAATAATCCAAGTAATCCCAGTCAGTAGTTCAAGCGTGAATAGACATAACCATACATTTCTTTAGATCTTCTTCAGTTCGCCTATGCAGAGGCTGGATGCTAACCTGGGTCTGTAACACGCCCATCAATGAGGCACGTCACCAGCGGAGCTCAGCCAAAACCGCAAGCAGCAGAACAAAGTGGGCATTGTTCGGGGGGCTGGAAGGGGCTTCATCGTCCCGGTGTACGCTGGCTGGTCGTCGTGCAAGTGCTTCCCACAAACTGGTCAGGAGGCCGCTCACCAGCAGCAGCGGTACTCCAGTCTCCCAGTACAACCACACCAGTTACTCGCACTTTCAAGGGAAAAACAGACACCTAAGACAAGCCCAGAGAGTGTCACGGGGGGCAGGACTGCACTAAACCTCAGGGAAAAGTTTAAATTAGATCACTTCTGGAAAGGTGACAGGGTTCACCGTATAATACTTCTCCTCCTGTCATCTGACTTTCTTTCTTTTCTTCCCTTTTTCCTGTTTTTGACTTATTCTGTATAAGTGATGCAGGAATGTATTACAACATGTCCATGAGAAGCACTGTGTAGGAACTCTGTTGTGAAATGTACTATATAAAAATAAACTGAATTGAATTAAAATTAGGCACATTCCTAAACTACAAAGAAATCTTAGGCCCTGTGGTTAAAAGTAGCTGTGGGGAGGGAATTGAATTTTTGTTTTTTTGGGTGTTGGAGAGGTACATCATTTCACAACTTTTAGGTTTCTGCCACATTTTAGACGTGACAAACTCTGAAGACATACATTTCCAAGTCCAGGGACACAGTACTGACTGATCTGAATGCACAGGAGATCAGATCATGGAAAACAAACAACAAATTCATGACTTAGAAAAAAAACCTAAAAATTATCCACCAATTAAATTATTCCAACATAATTATGCACATAATTTGATTACCTGTCATGTACTAGAATAAGATCTAAATTTCATTCAGTCTAATTTCAACAATTGTATAATTCAATATGTATATAATGTCCAGCCCCCTTAATGATCTTATATAACACTTATGGGGGGGGGGGTCTTAGGCTCTCCATAACAACCACCAAAACAGAGGCCGGATTTACGTTCCTACTTGTGGTTTTTCAGGAGTTTGCACTCATCATGCACATTTGGATTTTATATTAAGAAAATCGCTGGTCAGTGATTCAGCTAGCTCTGCACAATGGACACCCGTTTACATCAGCGGATAATTCTCTGTCCTGATAGACCCTCTGTGTCGTCAACATGACCGCAAAAGCGTGACAAAAGAACTTAAGAAATGAAAGGCGGCTTGAAGCGGAAAAATGGATTGACATTAGTCAACAGCTTCTGGTCCATACGTAGACAATAACATCCTCCCAACCTAAGCATGGCTGACCTGTTTTTAAACCTCAAAATTATGGATGAGTAAGCTGGTATTTTTGCAACAATGCCATCCATACAAAGTCCTGTTATGGCCCCACGTTTAGTGTGGAATGAGCCGGGCGTGTACCTTGAGCGAGGACCGGTGAGCTGGCTGGCTCTTTGCAGACAGAGGTCCATTTCCTGGTATCTGTCTGTCCTCTCCATGCAGATCCATATTCCACAGACAGGTGGCGCTTTCCTTTAGCTGGGCTCCTTAATGAGACTCCTGTATATTGATAGTGCTCTCCTGCAAATAGACAAATGATGCATGTAACCCTGCTCTCCTCACCAAATGAGGCACTTTTTCCAGCACAATACAAGCAACAGCAACTTACCTGCCTCTCTGGGAATGAGTACAGGATCCAGTTTAAAAAAAAAATAAAAAAAAATTAGGACTTAATTAGATTCCGTAATAGACCTAACATGACAGGTACCACTTTACATTAAGTCTCACTTGTCACAAAATTACATCAATAAGAAAGTGCTGTAGTATAACTTGCTTATAATTGCCTATTGATGATTTACAAAGGCTAACCTAATTAATAACCTGAATATAAAGCTTTGATAAATTCATTATAGCGGTAATCATATTGTAAAGTGGTACCATGTGATGGTCTATATAACTGTGGTTTTACTACACTAGAAAAATTACTTTAGCAATTTATGATTACTGTTTGTAATCAGTGTCAAAATGGACTTAAGGTGTCTGTTTTTCCCAATAGTACTGTATTTAAAGATGTGCAACATGGTAAAAATAAGAGCATGTGGCATGTGTCACGTGACAAAGTTTTAATTACCAATGTTGGGTGCCTGCTGTTTATTAACTGCATGAGCAGCAGGACACCCAGCAAGCAAAAACATATATGCAAGTTCGCGATCCTTTTTAAAAGCTTTAAAGTTTAGATCTGACTGTGCCCGTGAAGCCATATGCCCCCTGCATTTGACATCGTTCGATTGTCCTGTTAATTGTAACTAGCGGGACTTACAGTCATGTGACAAGCTGGGCGCTCTTAGTGGACTCAGCAACAGCAGGTACCACGGGCTGGTCAATAGGCTGCTCCTATTAATTAGTACTATACTGCTTGAGTACAACTGAGCCCTTGTTGAGAATGACAGGCAGAGCACGTACATAGATATGACGCAAAATATATGCCAAAACAGGGCTTGCAGTGACATAACATTATCCTTATTTAGACCGAGTTTGTAAGTATCCCGGGCTTTTAAAATGGCATTTTTGGATCAATTCCGAGTTAATCTCTAGGGTCTTTTTTTAAAAACACGCAGTAACGTGAACCGCACTCCGAATGTTCCCTGCAATTAAATATATGGGTGTCAAACTGCAGTCCTGGGGGGACACAGCCCTGTGCAGCTTAGCTCTTTACCTGTTCCACCACAAATGATTCAGCTTAAGAGATGTGTGGTAATTAGCACAAGGAGCTGAATCAGGTGTGTTAAATGAGGGGAAACCCAAAAATGTGCAGGGCTCCGGCCCCCCAGGACTGGAGTTTGACACCCGTGACGATAAAACGCCGACAGGTTCCGGAGCTTATTAATAGCATGTAAACCCCACAGAAAAAACATAAGAAGCTGTCTACAGTAAAATTTGAGCTAATTTGAAATATAAAACCGCACTATCCGTTTGGTTTCCTTTGAAAATGCAGATAAGAAATGCAAAGGGATTATTGACGTGGGGAACTGCGCTTGTGAGTGATTATATGACCCATATCCCACCAAACACATGCGTACGTCCACATACGTCAGAATGCAAAACAAACAATTTACGATTTACGACCCCCACTTGAACTTTACATTATGTTATGTAGGGGTGCAGGTTTAACTTAACGCGTTTGTTAACTTAGTCGAAAATTACGTAAAACTATAAGAAAGCGACAAACAGACTGAAGTCATGACGACGAGCCCCGTATCCCTGACCACGCGCACTCTGCCCAATTAGTTCATGCATTTTAATTACGCCGAAGCCCTCAGACATAGTGCAGTTAACAAATGACCATCATGCATAAACAGGGTCTTTCCTGGGAATGTAAGCAAAGCATTGACACTGTACTAAAATAACGGCGCACATCATAATACAATGTTTGTTGTGCCCAGTAGGGGTAACCAAGCGTCATATTTCAGTGCATCAATCAATAACCTGGCTGTTAATTACAATTAAGTAGTGACGATACCGTAAACACACAGGCGTAATTGCCATCTATCGTGGTGTAGTGGTTGAAGAAACGTAAATCAAATTTGGAAATGACACCTAAAAATAACAACAGGTTAAAAGCACGTTTTTGACTGATCGTTGACGACAGATTTCTGCGATTTTCCTACAAATGAATAATGTGTGCCCTCGTGAGAAAGCTCCTGTAAATCAATTTACACTTAAAAACAAAAAAGGACCCTCTTCCAAAACACACTCAAATGAAAATGGTAACTTACCTCAGGCGGTGATATTTATAGAGAGAATTAAAAAAAAAACTGTATACTTTCGTCTCCTGAGAGGTTATGCAATAAGGACTCGCTGACGGACGCGTTATTGCGGTAAACGCAGTTGCATGATGTCCAGATCTTCAGAGAAAACTTTCACTTCAAGGGCGATGAGGAGAAAGGCAGACCTGCACGGTTCCTCCTGAATCGTGTGACAGAACAATCGGAGTCACTGGCGATTATTTGTTTTTGCGAAAAAAATTCACACGACGCGTCCAATAATTGAGCGCTTGACGTCAAACGGATGGGTTTGAGAAGCGCTTCCCCGGGAAGGGGCACCGTTCGCAGCCTCGTTTGCTGCATGCGAGCCGCGTGGAGAATCGGCCGGAGCATGTGATGCTGCTCCGGGGAGGGAGAGCGACGCTTCTCGCTAAATCCGCCTGGAATCGAATTTATCCGCCGCAAATGACTCTAGTGAGAAAGTGCGGGCAACTTCATAATCACGCGGCACGCCGTAGGCTATTTATTACTGGGAGAGGAAACGCACAAACAAAAGGCGTTTCTTAAACTTAAAATAGGACCGTGCAATAGCAGCGACAATAGCGGGACTGTCACTGACAGGTTGATCCCGCGGCTGTAATCGTGTAATACACTGATTGTTTACGCGATTAATCGCTTCAGTGTTTCGTGACACGGTTGTCTATATGTATGGCATCAAGGGTCCACGTTATTATTTAAAATCATTTTTAGTTTTTTTTCTTCTTTCGTCAGCAATTACTGCAAGAATCAAAAACAAAATCACAAGAATAGCATACTCAGGAAATTCAACTGCCCCTTCGTTTTGGCAAAGTCTAGAGGGGCGTTACACATTTTATAATTATGAATAGATAATATTTGCAATGGCATGCATTTGTGCATAAGAGAACAAACCGAGAAATTCCAACGAACAGCGATGTCACGCGCACAAACCAAATAGTCACAATATAGCTCGCCCACAAATGACACTGGCTTAAATGGGATACGGACTACATTGCAGGGTTATAACATTAAAAAGCAAACGCAGTGGATGGAAGCACTACAGGTCACGTCAGAAATGATGGATTCCTTGAGCCTGTTTACTCATGTATGCATCACCTGGGAGATGAATCTGCATGAGGTTCTTTGCGCTTCCTGTTGCCATGGAGATGGCTAGCTGTGTACATGCTAATATGCTAATATTGATTTCCCCGTGAAGGTGATATTTGACTGGTATTCTCAATGTGTGTGTGTGTGTGTGTGTGTGTATACACACACAAGAATGGTCTACAAACCTAGGAGAAGCCATTGTACAAAAGTGTTTCTTTTTGTGGATTGTTCTAAAGAAAAACACAAATGTAAGTGCTGCAGATCTATTGTCTTTGACTTCAAAGAAGTTCATTTCACTGCTGATTCTGTGAGGTAGACACTAATGCTGTAATAAATACATGTCATTCATTTTCTCAGTTCTACATAAATATACAGCTGCAGAAACTAAGAGACCACAGCACAGTTTCTCAATTTATGGGTGTCGTCTGTGAATCATACATTTCTTTTGCAAACTGCAGCTTGGTTCTTCTAATTTTCTCATAAATGAAGGGCTTCTGCCTTGCTTTATGGGACTTCAGTCCTGCTTCTAGGAGTCTGATACAAACTGTCCTAGCAGAGCACCTCACACCTGCCGACTATGTTTTAATGTTTTTATGTTTTAAATTAGCCACATTGGAGGGTTTTTGACTATAAACTGCCTATTTAAGGTCCTGGCCCAGCATCTCAATGGGGTTCGAGTCAGGATTTTGAATAGGCCACTGCAAAACCTTACGTTTGTTTTTTTTGCTCCAGCCGCTCAGAGGTGGACGTGCTCTTGTGCTTCGGATCATTGTCCTGCTGCATGACCCCATTGTTCTTCAGCATCACATCACCGACTGGTGACCGGACGTTCTCCATTAGTACTTTCTGGTAGACAGAGTCCAGATCCAGAAAGTACAAATCCAGACCAAGACTTTGTTTCAGCGATGTCACGCGCACAAACAAACAATTCTTGATTACTTGATTACTCTGTGACTGTGACTTTTTACATTCTACATTTCCATCTCTGTTGGCAGACAGAATTCACGCATCTCTCAGTTATGGCAGGTCACCCAGGGCCAGAAACTGCAAAGCATCCCCACACCATCACACCATCTCCACCATGTCTGGCTGTGGCCAAGATGTTCTTTGTGTAGAAGCTGTGTTACTTTTACCCCAGATGTAGCAGGTCCAGCTCTTCCAGACAGCTCTGCTTTTGATTCATCTGTCCGCTGAAGATTCTCCTAGAAGTGTTGGGGGTAATCAAGTGGCTTTGACGAGCCTTCATGTTCCTCTTAGTTAGCAATGGTTTCTACCTTGCATTTCTCACATGGACACCATCTCAGTGCCAGTGTCTTTCTAATGATGGAATCATGAATGCAGACTAATTAACCTGAGAGAAGCCTGCAGTTCCATAGATGCTTGTCTGTGGTCCGCTGTGACGTCCCTGATGAGTTTTCTATGCGCTCTCAGAGTAATTCTGCTGGGCCAGCCACTACTGAGCAGATCTGCCACTAGTTCCTAGTGTTTTTTCCATTTGGAGATAATGGATCTCACTGTGGTTTGCTGGAGTCCAGGGGTTTTATTGAAGGCTTTGTACCCCTTTGCTGCCTGATATATTTCAGTAATTTTCCTTCCCAGATCTTCAAGAAGTTTTTTTAGTCAAAGCATGATGTGACCTGGTATCCAATCCTTTATCCTCATATTTCAGGAATAGTTTTATTTAAACGGGGTTGTCGGCAATCAAGCTTAGGTGGGTCTGGTTTAATTTAGCCCATTAACAATTAAATTTGCTTCATTGTTTAAGTGACTAAGGAGGCAGTTTCCTTGTCACATGGGTTATATGGGCGTCTGGGAATTTTCTTTCAATGAATGAAATGGTCTTTTAAAAACTGTGTGTTATGTTTACTCAGCTTGTCCTTTGTATTAAATTTGTTTGGAGCTCAGAAACAATTGTTAGTCAGTTTATCCCCCCCCCCCGTTTCAGGGGAAATCGTTTAAACAGCAAACAATTTTGCAGTGAAAAACAGTACTCATTAATTTACCAGCTGAATATGTTAAATGAAAATAAATCTTGTCTTTTATGTAAGAGAATGTCCAGCTTTCATGAAAAAATAACAGAATTCACACAGATGTAAAACAATACTGCATCTTCACAAATTCTCACAGCCTACTGCGAACAAAGGGGCCTGAATACACAAAACAGGAAATCCGGAGAGTACGGTGCAGGATTGCCCATCCGAGTCTGTGATGTACTGGGACAGCCATGCAGCCGGAGTATCTCCAGAGCATCGTGGGGTGGGTGCCCTTGCTTTACACAGGTTCCTCAGCATCGCACGCATTTCCTCAACATGAGTATGGAGCACAGAACGAGACACTTTTCCGAAAGCCTGGGTCCCATAAACAGAGTACAGACGCTCCTCTACTTACGAACTTTCAAGTTATGAACTTTCAGACATACGAATGATGAGGACTGCAAGTTCAAATCGTGTTCCTTGGGCTCCCATTGTCTGTCAGCAACATTTTATTTTTCTGCGCGCCAATCCCGCCTAGTACGGCTTCTGGCCGCTACTCCCACCACACAGCAGCATAGCGCGCGCACTCCCAGCATCCTAGTTCTTTGTACTTGTGTATACCCTTAAAGTGATGTTGGATTACAACGTACGAACATTTCAAGTTGCGAATGGCCGTTCGGAACGTATCTCGTTCGTAAGTAGAGGAGCGCCTGTATATCCAATTCTCCTCTGCTCACCACTTTTTCCTCAACTGGATCATTTTAAATATCTCTTCAACCAGCAGTTGATTTTTTCTTTCTGCAAAACTGCATGACTCCTAAGGAGGGAAAAAAATGCTTTTTTTTCGCCCTTGGTGAAAAAAGGTACACATAAAACTGCAAGAAAATCAAAGTCTCCAAACACAGACTGTCAAACATAAAAATGAAAAGCCCCGACTGAAAGGCAAAGAAATGGTGTGAAAGGGGTGGTCAGATATTGGTCTCTGTGGTGCCTATCTTGGCTGAGATATGACCTCCTCGCTCTCCATGCGGCAGCCTGGCTTATGAAGAAGACCCCAAATGCACCCTGCCAGTCGGTTTGATCGAATGAAGCAAATAAACAGAGGAAAAACATGCGACCTAGATTCTATGGAATATGAACAATGGCATTGTTCTTATTGCCCATTTAAATAGATACAATACCATCAGAACAATGGCGATATTCTCATTGTCCATTTAAATAGTCCTCTGATTCAGTCACATGGGAAAAATACACAGCAAAGGACCATGAGTGGGTCAGAACAAAGCAGGTAGATGACAGAACAAAGCCAGGGAGCAACATAGGAACAGCCATAGCAGCAGCCAGCACACAATAAAGAACAAAGGTAGGATCATATATGCAGAAGATGAGGGCAGGACCAGGGACAGGTGTGGGCCAATTACAACCAACTAAACACTAGAGGTAAGGGTCATAATCACAAAGGACTCAAACACTTGGGAAGGGGTGACTAGTGACACCTGCTGGCCAGGGAGGGACTGATCTTGACAAATATAGATATGCCCCTTGTGTTCCTTCACATAATCCATGCATATTTGTGCTCCTTTGTGATGCTGTGCCCCAGCTTGCATGGCTTGTGCTTGCTGGAACATAAACCCACCGTCTTAGTTAAATCCTGAACTAATTAATTCCATGAAAGTCCTTCCAGTCTATGTTGTGGTCTCTCCTCGTTGCTGTCCTTTGTGCTTTCCTCTCTCTCCAGCAGAAAAAAACGACACAGAAAGAGACACACAACGCTTTTGTAACATTTCATAGTACAAGGGACAAGATGCATACCAGGAGACTTGAATTTTTAGGTGGAAAGGCCTTACGCTTAGGGATTTCAGTTTCTTGCTTTTCAAAAAATAAGGTCTGTTGGCTGCAAGAATGCAACTCGAAATATCCCAGATATTTCTGTCTGGATAGGCGGATGGAGGGCTGATAACTATGCAGGAATGATTTCTTTAAACAGGTGACCGTTTCAAAGATGAGGAAATCACAGCTCAGCAGGGAGCCTATTGGCCTGGGGGGTTGAACACTGGGGGGGGGGTTTGAATACACCCGGGAGTGTGCAGGTCACATCCCCACAGTATGTTATCTCTGGGTATCACCAAAAACAAACTCTGAGGTGAATGAGTATCTCTAATGTGACCCTTGTGAGCAGGTCCGGAATGCGTGGTTAGATCAGTCACTGGGGTCTATGGCCTGTAGGTACAGATGCTGGTTTGATGACGTTAACGTAGCCTGTTTGCTATATTATAAGATCTCTTATGTAAATCACTGACTTGAAGCTAGGAAGATCATATTTACCCAGCTGATATTTACGTGATGTGATGTGTGCAATTCTAACATGGGCCATAATTGAGTTTCAGAAGTGGTTCAGATATATTGGTTCTGATTCGATGGTTAGCGTTAGCGATATATAGCATTACCTATGTTTGTAAGAGTGTAATTAGATCCAGCACTAAAGAAATATAATTCCAAACAGCTTTCAAACATGCGGTACCGTGGTACCTTTTCAGTTCTGGTATGCCAATCGACACTAATCTGCACAAGCATTTGATAAAATGATAAAATGTGGGATTATCTTGTTATTGGTGCAGCACAAATAAATAAAAAGTACTGTATTGCATACTTGATAAATCTGTGATTCCAAATAAGTCACAAACTCTAAGGACATTAATCTAGAAAGACATTCTGCTGTGCGATAGTGGTTTACTTCCTGTCTTCTTCCTTCAACGCAAAAAGTCGCACAGTGATGACAAATGTGTGCTTGGGCCAGGATTCGTTAATTGCAATGTAAGCGCAGACCAGTGGGGGGANGGGGGGGGGGATATTGTGCTTGGGCATGGCACACAGCACCTGGGCTTCGTGTGTGTACACCCTTAAAGTGTCGGCGTGTGATGGACCAGCCAACCTGCCTTGTGCCCAGTGCATCCTGGGATATGCTGGAGGCTCGCAACTTGTCAGTGTCCTGACAATGGATGGTGGATGGATGGAATGCACATTTAGGTCAACAAAGATTCCACCACCTTCTCTCCATGACTGGAAGGTTTGACAAGGTCCTCACCCACATATAGACGAGTACTATAAGATTAGCCTGGCCCCATCCACACACTCAGTACCAGAGCGCAAACATCACTGAGGATTTTTGTCTCTGTGTTCAAATTATCAAATAATCCTGCCATGAAAACAAAACATCAGCCACCCCCATGACGGTCCATCAGTGCTCTTTAGCTCTCAGTCAGCTTGCAGTGATGCGGAGTTCAAGCTAAAATGCTGGATGATCAAACTAAGTTTGACAGAAATAAAGAGGCAGACATTCCGTTACCACAGAGTTAAATTCATGTAATTTAACTGTATTCACATTACAACATCCACATTGCTCAGTCTGAGACACATTGAGTCTAATCTCAATACATATTTACTGTATAATACCACACATCAAGAGGCACTTCCAATAATTCTGTAATTAAAGTAGCTACAGTATAGTGTCTGAATTACAAAAAACGGTAAAAATAAATAATGTTTATCTAAAAGATTGTTGTCGATTTCATCTTTTATCTGTACAGCATAAAGTTTGTTTGTACAAAATGGAACATTACCACCAATAAAATGAGCAGTTCAGTTAAACAAATACATGTGAAATACATATTTCTCCTTTAAATGTATTGCTACATATGCTAAGTGCAAGATATAAGTGAGAGGAAAGTAAGAATAATTATTAAGTCGGTGATGTGCCAACTCTATAAAAAATACAGGTCTTCTTTTTCTTGTTTACAGAGTTGTAAAGCTTGTTTGGTTCTCCTTGTAATCAATAATATGCATTACGAACAATTATAGTAACCCAATGGAGACTGGATAAGACAAAAGTGTACAAATATAGTTAGAAGAATGAAAAAATTAACACATTAGGGAATTTCAGTTATTCCTCAACCTAATAAATGCCATGAGTCTGACGCCACACGTGTGTCATGCACATTCCCTTCCTGTCCTGACAGCTGAAGTACAATAAATGACAAAGTCAATACCACCTGCCACCATTGGATGGAACTGGTCAGGTGACATGGATGACAAAGGCAATACTGCCTGCCACCATTGGAGGGGACTGGTCAGGTGACATGGATGATAAAGTCAATACTGCCTGCCACCATTGGAGGGGACTGGTCAGGTGACATGGATGATAAAGTCAATACTGCCTGCCACCATTGGATGGGATTGGTCAGGTGACATGGATGATAAAGTCAATACTGCCTGCCACCATTGGATGGGACTGGTCAGGTGACATGGATGATAAAGTCAATACCGCCTGCTACCATTGGATGGGATTGGTCAAGTGACATGGATGATAAAGTCAATACCACCTGCTACCATTGGATGGGATTGGTCAGGTGACATGGATGATAAAGTCAATACCACCTGCTACCATTGGATGGGATTGGTCAGGTGACATGGATCATAAAGTCAATACCGCCTGCCACCATTGGATGGGAATGGTCAGGTGACATGGATGATAAAGTCAATACCACCTGCTACCACTGGATGGAAATGGTCAGATGACATGCTTGACTCCCCTATTACAAAGAAGGCAGCTCGTGAGCCAGCCGAAGTGGACCAGTGCCTATGCAGACCCAAAATGGCACAGATATCCGTGACAATCAGATGTGGCCTTGACAGTCAGGTGGTCACTTCCTGTGTGTGCCACACTTCTGGCAGCCATATTGGATATATATTATAATATAGGCTGTAATGGCAAGTATTGCTTCTCTGTAAGTCTCTACATGATAATGCACATCCGCAGAGAGGGAAATTAGAAAGTGGCGGTATACAGCCATGTGACTTTTTGGTGATCTGATAAATGTCCAGCTGACTATCTTCAGCCACCTATGCTCCCATTCCACAGTGTTCCACAAACAAAAAAGCAATCCTATTCCACGCAGTCGACATGACCCGAGCTCACCGGAAATGTCAAAGGTCTGTACTGCCGAGCGAGAGGGCTGTGCATTTTTACCACTTCGTGCCAGATCTCTGTTGATTCCGACGTGACATTTCCTGCGATCTGTATCGGAACGACAGTGTGAGGAGGCAGTGGAACATGGACACTGGGAAGGTGAGAACCAATCAGCATATGAGGCGCAAAGGTGGGAGATGAAGCCGCAGAGCGTGACATTTCCTGCGCGAGTTAGCACCTCCGTCTGCATTTTTTTAATATTGAGGGATTGTCATCTACACTTGGGGAAATCAACTCTGTTTTTAACAAACAAACAAATAAACAGGGTGTTAGTGTATGGAGCATCGTCAACGAAGACTGAGACACCGCCAAGAAAAGAACAAAAAAAACCCCGAACACCTGGAGGCATCGTAAAACAGTGGAATATTTACAAACACAGAAATGGGGAATCTTAATGCCGACTGGGCGTATTTTTTACGATGCAAAAGTATGATCATAAAATCTTGTAATTAATCAAAAAAAAAGAGAGACGTCATTTTAGGCACTCGGGACAAAAACGAGACACGGATGGATCTATGCTATAATACTTTGCCTGATCGCTAATAAAACCATATTTCGAAAATACGAACTGCTGTTTAATACCACAGTTTCATTAAGTCTCATTGCTTTAATACGCAGGAGGTTGGTCAGAGCCTCCCTGAAAAAGGTGACTGTTTTCCCCTACTCACCGCAGGTATTGCTAATGCTAGCTGCGGGGGTGGCACTCGCCTGACCTGTAGGGGGCATATATAGTGGCCAGCTACCCAGGTGTGGCTGGCAGCAGCTGGAGCAGTAAGAGGGTCGTGCTCAGGCCGCCCAGCTCCATCAGCCGACCCGCCATCAGAGGCGCTGGCTAATGGTGCTAATGTCGTACTGGGTGCTACGCTAAAGAGAAGTATAAGGGTCACTCAAGATCTGGGTCATGAAACTGACATAAAGCAGGTGAGCTTCCCGTAAATAAAAGTGGAATATCTTTCCTGGTCAAACCTCTTTGCCAACGCCTACGTCTTCAAGGCCCAAAGACACAGGAGAGACAACAGCCCGAATTCTTTAGTCAATGCAGACACTCTGCCAGAAAATCCCCCCCCCCCCGGCCTCATGGGGTGGGATCCACACCCCTCTGCCTTGCACTGATCTGGGTACCACCTTTGCGATCCTGCTCTCGGAACTCCTTCTCCACGTCCAGCCTTTCCCTCGGAGTTTCCGGCATCGCTGCAAGGCGAGTCAGAATCAAAGGACGCCCTGTTTCTTTTTTTTTTTGACCATTACAAAGGAGGTATCACAGTGGGGGGTGTCTGGCGGGGGGGGGGGGGGGGGGGGGGGGGGGGGTGCGGCTGACTAAACCGCAATCACCTGTCTGAGGCAGGAGGTCACTGGTTACCTTCCAGCTGAAGACATTGAAGACGTTGACCTAAATTGCGCCTGACCGGCCAAACCCATGTCTGTGATTAAGCGGAACGCGGATTACCGCCAAACGAACGGAGAGCTGGTCAGCGGCTGGCCGGTAACCCCTTCTAAGTTTCTGAGCGAGATCCTACTGCTAAATTCCCCGGGCGGGCGACCTGTAGGCGGGAGTCTCGGGCGGCTCGGACATGCCAGAGCTCGATGGCGAACAATGGGGGCTTTGGTCGGCGGGAACAGAAAACACAGCGGAGGAAGCCCCCCCTGAGAGTCTGACCGAAACGGGGCGGACACGATCATGCAGAGGCAAACAAAGGCAGGGTGTGGGGGCCTTTCCGCGCACGGCAGTGACGGTTACACGTATAAGTAGACGGCGGCGATAAAAATAGTCCTGGTGACCGAGGCCCCCCCCCCACCCCCCCCGGGTTATAGACAGCCAGAGCAGCTTTCCCTTCAAACTTTAAAACCTGAGAGCATTAAACAGAAAACCGTTTATAGGTGCAGAATCATCAGTAAAGACTTTGAAGCAGTTATTCAAGAATAACTTCCCCCAGACTGGGAAACTGCAAAGCAAAAGCCAGTTTCTTTGAACGCTTAACTTCCAAGAGACACCTATATATTCTGCTGAGGGCTCCTCTGCAGTTGGTGTGTGATCGTGTCCACAAACCCGGGGACGATTTCACTACCAGACGTCACTCTGCCTCGAAGTATGACAACAATGACAGTACCAGCGATGGATTCAACCGGATGTGTGACGTAGCTATCGGAGGTGTTTGGCTCTGCAGGTTGGCATGCTGTGTTTGTGACCGGAATTTTGCTAGTTCAGATCCCAGGGTCAGCAGAGTGGTGTTAGTGCGTGACCCCTAACTGATCAAAAGGTATGTTTGCTAAATAAAAATTAAATGTACAAGCTGAGGTCATCAGCCGTCCTTTGAGTGACCCGGATAGGCAGGGGTCTTGGCCAGAATGTTCCAGAGTTTATTTTTTTACGGGTCTGGGAAAATCCTACATTGTAGCCTTATCACAAGAGTACACTGCTACTCTGGGATTCATGTACAACAGGCAACTTATAACTGTCATTTGTAAATGATCCAATCAGCAGGCAGACCTGCATACTGTTTGTATATGTGTCAAACACTGATTGGTAGGATGTACAAATGCTCCCCAGATAGTGTGATATTGCGCTGGAGATTATACTGAGAACACACCCACTAGTGCTAAGCAGAAGAAGTCCGGAACCTTCCGGTGCCTGTTCCACACCTTTGGCTAAGTCCTCTATTCTCCATTCCTGCACATGCTGGACAGGGAGGTCTTCCCCGTTGCTCTTGCTATGGCCACACTTATGTGAAACCGCGTTGGCACAGCGATACAGAGGCACGCCCCCCCCCCCCCCACCACGCAGCATGGCTTTATGCCAGAGCGTCTTTCTGAAAGTCTTCAGATAAAAAGAAAAACGCCTTGAAACCCACAAAAGGTGGCGGCATGAAGTGGTTAAAGTCTCCTAAGAGCCATAAAACATTCCCTTCTTGGAAAATTAACTACAAGAAATGTTTGTTTTTTAAGAATACATGGTAAGAAATCCCTCCTATTTACAAAAACTAGCTGTCATTGGTGAGGGTCATGGCGGCCAACCTGTGAAAGAAGACCAGCGAGAGAGAGCGTGGCTTGTAGCGATGGCCGAGCGGCGGAGGCGGGATCACCAGGCCACGTTTACGCCCCGTAGCGTCACCCGCCGGGAAATGACTGACGGACGCTAGGCGCCCCGGTATTATCGCGCTTTTCAGTTTTCATCGTGGAAAACAGGGCGGTCTGGAAGGTCCAAGTCGCTGTGCGAATTCTTTTGGCAATCCCGTATTGCACTGCGGATACTTCCTCAATGGGAAGCTCCCCCCCCCGGCCAAATCTGGAAACTTGACCCCCACTCCCTCAACACCCC